CATCGCCCCTCGCCCAGCCCCCGCCCCACCATCCCACACGCCACCCCAGCGCACTGTCGCCACTCACTCGCAAGTCGTGTTGGCCACGCCAAACACCGGGCGAGCTGATTAGGTCTCATGAGACCTGGGTTCTTTCTTCATCTCTTTGCCTTCTCCGGACTTTGTCGCCCCGACAACTTTTTCCATTGTTTTGTCAAACAATTCCGACAAATTACGCCCCATCCCGCGACCACCTTACACTATGTTACCTCTCAAACAAGCGTGAATCGAGGGGGTCAGTGCTTTGCCCTCCCCCCCACACACAAACACACACAAAATGCCTGATTACAGCCTTGTAACGTTGCTTTTAAAACGTAACGCGTTGCAGTTACCCGTTACCCTGTGTCAGTAACGGTAGCGCGTTGCCGTTACTGCCGGGTAACTGTTGGGCAGGGACGCGGCCCATGATCCAATTTTGCTGGGTACATACAATATGCGGGCGTTGAATTTTCCTCTCATATTTCAGTGGCAACAAGGTTTTTAGTTGCAATGTTGTCCTTGCCGCCCCTACTCCCCCTCTGAGTCTGAGACGACGAGGACACGCCCTTGCTGCGCGGCCCTTGCGGTGACCTTAGGGTGGGTGGGACTGCTGTATACGGAGCGAGCGGACCAAATATTTGCTCATCGCGACATCCATGCAGCCAGAAAAGAGATCCCCCTTTTGCCGGCGTCCGGAAGTCGGCGCGCTCTTTGGTCCCGCCAGCGGCAGACCGTGCTAGTGTGGGCTCCGGCGGCCGTGTCCGGCACGGCGGCCGAGGCCATAAGGCTGCTAGCCGCTGGTAGCGGGCGGTCGCGCGGGTCGCGTTGGTCGCGCCCGCTCCCTCGCTCGATCGCACGTGGCGCGAACGAGGTGCCGCTGCACAAGAGCATGCACGGCGCGGCGTGCAGAGCGAGTGCGGGACGCACCACACACGTGTTTGACAAAGGGATAAGGCTCGGCCGCCCAGGTGTGCCTAGGGATGATCCCCCGGCAGAGGTCGCCTCGCATTGCGCCACGCCACGCCGAGCCACGCCACGCCCCCCGGGGCGGCCCACTGCTAAGCAGAGTGGGCTTGTGTCATCGCCATGCGCTCTTTGCTTCCTTCTCGTCTGGTCCAGCCGAGGGGCCGCGTCACTGTGCGTCGAAATGAGTGCACTGACTGGTGGCCAAAATACTACTACAGCAGGTGGCGCGCAATTTAAAAAAAGATATTCTGTAGCGCAAGCATGCCAGTTAGGGAATTCAGGGAGCGCAAAACTGCAAAGAGGTGCAATATATCCGAGGAGAATCGATTGCCCCTGTTATGCAACGGGAGCAGCTCGTCTCTTAATATATCTCGTAATGTATAGGCTAGCCCCAGTTGTTCAGGGGAGGGGGTTGATGTACCAGAGGTGTCTGATTCACGCCGCGCGCTTTCGTAGTTATTACTGTACTGCATGCACGCGTGCAGGCGAGTTGTCTACTCGCGCGGGGCCAAAAGGAGCCGTGGACAGCGAGGATAGGCAAACCCGCCCGCACCCCTGCATGCGGTACGGTATAACTACGAAAGTACGCTGCACGTGAGTCAGCCACAAGGTAGATGCGACTTATGTGTGACATGTGACATGAAAATGACTGCACTGGAGGCGTTCGTTGAGAATTTGGCTGTGCATAAAATGTTCAGAATTTTATGAGAGCATTTTTTCACTAGGTATATAGAAGCAAGAACAATTTAAACACTTAGTCCACAGGGATGAGGAAGAAAGGCCACAGGGCTCCCAGCGGAGGCGTGCGTGGCCGAGCGCATTGCCAAACAACGCTGAACCGACGCAGAGCCGAGCAAGCGGATGGGAGGGGGGAGAGGGGACGGAGCTGAGCACAGAGGCACTCAGAGGCACTCATTTCTGACTGTCAAAATTTTTGCCGTCTTTTGGCCGTAATTTGCCGAAATTTGATATCCCTTCAGAAGAAGGCCAACTTTTAGGCGCTTCAACGGCCAAATTTCGGCAAACCATTGGCAGTCACCAAACGAAGGCCAAAATTTGGCAATCAATAAACAAGAGCCAAAATGTTGACAAAAGCTAGGCGACCACGGCGTAGGAAGCCATGACCGTCCTCTGACCGGACAGAGAGGTGCTCGGGTCCAGCTCCGCCCTGGCCGCGGCCCTGGCTGCCTCTCGGCCGCCCGCGCTCGCTGGGCGGCCCGCCTCTCACGGCGGCGGCGGCGGCTCCCGGCTGCTGCCGCGGCCGCGCGGGGTAGGCGGCCCAAGCGGCGCGCGCGTCCGGCTCGTTGCCTACCCGCACGCGCCCGCGTGGAGCCCACGGAGCCGCCGCCGCCGGAGAGGAGAGCAGAAGAGTTT